ATGCTGTCAGTAGAAACACAAATATAAGATGCGTGAAGTGAAATTATACCATCTGGGTCTGTGAATTGAGCTTCTTGTTTCACATTCTGGGGCTCCTTTGCCTCTGCAACATTGAAATCGGTCCCTGGTGACAAGGCAACTTGTTTTACAGTTTTCTTAGCTCTTTTTCTTGCCATTTGAACTGGTAAATTCTGCTATGACATACAAAAACAATTCCATAAATCAACTATAAAATTTATACACGACTCACAAAATCGTCAATTTTTTCGATTTGTGTTCAATACTAGCTTCATGCGTGAAACAGCAACCAGAGTATGTCAAATCAGAAATGCCAAACAACCCAATTTGCATACTCCAAAAAGAAGGGGGAAACACCCAATTTTAAAGGCACATTTTCAGTTCTTTCTTTTCTTTTCAAACGGTAAAAAAGAATGTCAGTTCAAAGTTGCAGAAGATTGAAAACATAAAACTAAGGGCCGATTTGATAGAAAACAACACAAAGTTACAACAAAACCCAAAAACACAGCAACAACAAAACCCAGAAACACAGTAACAGAAAAACACAATAACAGTCCAAATATCAAATACCCACAGCCTAAAAACACCAAATCTAAAACACCCAAACAGTTCAAGTCAGAGAATTTCATACCTTTGATGAAAGTCCAGAGGAAGAGAGAAGAGGCAGATCGAGAGTTGAGAGAGAGAGGGTTGAGAAAGCGAGACTGAGCGTGAGAGCAAGAGAACAAGAGTTCAGAGGGCGAGAGCGAGCGTGAAAAAGAAAATAGAAAACTGAAATCTGAAATTGATTTTCGGTAGCTTTCAAAATTATGCCTCGTTTTGAAATCAGTTTTCAATTTTCTACAAACTAAAAATTATAATTAGTTACCAACACATTTTCAATTTTCAATTTCATGAAAAGTGAAAATGAAATTATTATCAAACAAACCTTGAAAAAAAGATAGGGTTTTGTGTAGAGGTGTATTTACCACTAATCGGCCGGCGATTTGGGCTTGTCGAAGCTTGCAGTGCTGGGCGTGGCCACTTACAAAAATAAGTTTGAATTTTGAGATTTTGGAGGTAAACAAATTCGTTCTAAATAATTGGCAAACAAGTGGGAAGAAAAGTTTACTAATATTTTATTTTGTTTTTGGTCTCATATTACTCTTGCA